CTTTATATATCTTGTTTTTATACTTTGCTGCTGGATGGTTAAGACCAAGGTAAAGCAAGACCTATGTAGCAAGAAATGTAACTTTTGTATCTGATAAAGACAGTCTGTTCCCCTCAGCATTTATCCTGTAACCCTGTACTGCACTTTGTAGATCCTTTGTCAGTGTCAGCCATGTAGATGAGTCACAGCCATTGCTTGACCAATAAGCTGTCTATGAAATACTGAGAGAAAGTTTTCTCTCCATGTGCCTGTCCTTAGGCTCACTACACATCATCAATCACATTACTCTGTGACTCCATAAACTCCTTGATCAGAAAATTTGGGACACCACTGAGTTACAGGATATTAGAGTACAGGTTCTCCTATGTCTTCATTTTTTACTGACCTTGAAAGTCTAGGGCCAAAATGTTGGCTGACCTGACAGCCCATTCTTTTCTCCAATTTTTGATCTGCAAACTTAGGTTGTTAGCCCTCCAGAAGATAGGCTTCTTATTACCCTGAAACATATGCAGTTTGATTTTCCATATCTGTCTAAATATCAAACATTGTAGGCATAACATGAAACAGGTGTTTTCCATCAAGTATTGATGTGTTGAACTTTAACTCCTTACAAAATATGAAGAAAAACATATTGAGAAAATAGGAATGAAGACATATTTTTACACAGAAATTTAGAAATCTAACCATATACAGCATTGCATCATGAAAGTCCTATGACATTTTTTTTCTTTTTCTTGTGTCTTTTTTTTCATTTATTACCCATTTTAAAAAGATAGTTGTGAGACAGTAAGGGAATAATTGGTATGTCATGACAAGAAGTATGTATTTAGAATACCAGAATGACAGGCAATCCAATTTGACCTTTCTATTACACATTGCTATCCGCAGTGCAGTTGCTTGGTTCACAGGTATCAGCATATATAGTTAGGCAGATTGAGAAACCTATCAATGAACTGCTAGTTTCAAAAACCTACTGAAGTTTCTCAGGAACATTGCCTTGCCTATCTTGTGCATACAAATGTATGGCTTTGTCCCTGTCCTGTTTCCCACCTTTTATCCTTACCCTCTCCTTGTTTTCGAATCCTCAAGTTCTTGCTTTCCTTTTAGTTGTGTT